TTCTTTTCTTCTCTTCTCTTTGTCTGGTAATTCTCTACATTTGTTCTAGTCCGGCGGGTAAGCATTTTTGCATAAGCTTCATTTTTTCTGTGTTGCGTCTTTGCATTCATCGTCAAACCAATAATTCTTTCGGGTACAAGTTTCTGTTCCTATTTCATCTTGTGCTGCTGATTCAATATCTTCCTTTATCGTGTTCCAGTAGGAATCTATATCTCTCTGGTCTTCTTCGCTTGGACTTTGATTTCTTAACCTATTGGTAATATTTTCCCAGTACTGTTTTGCAGCAGTTGCATCTCTCAGCTTCGGTACATTCCATTTCTTTGTAACTGTTTTGAATATACGCTGTACAAAAAGCGATAGTATGAATTACATATAGGCGCTAGATGGTGTGGACATAGTTAAAGGCTGTAGCCAATAGATAGCGTGAGAATGCGATTTTCACATTTTGAAAAATTAAATTTTAACCAAAATTCGCATTTTAGAGAGTTAGATTTGCATTGAAGACATTAACATTTTCAATATGGTGGCACTTAACCTGTTAAAGCACTTATCGGATCGTTTTGTCCAGTCAGATGCGTCTTCAAAATATAGAAACAAATGGTAATCACCCGACCTGGAACTAGGGTGGGGCATGAGGAGCACGTGCCCCGATTTAAGGAGGCGGCAAAATTTAAAAAGATTATAATAATATAAGTTATTTAAATTGTTCAAAGTAATAATACCACAATCAATATTATTTAAGTTTATTTGATTTTGTTGCACAACTTATCAGTCTTATTACACTGACACTTTTTCGAGCCCTTTAAACTCACCTCATTTAAAAACCAAGGGTTCCAAAAAGATTTAATTCACAGATCCTTGTAGCTCTTAAAAACCTCTACAAAATCGTTTTTGAAGAAACACTCTATCGTTAAAAATGAAGGAAATACGTTAAAAAAAGCAATTAATTTTTTTTCCGGAAAATTCCATTAGTATAGTACAGTACATTTCGGAGCATAATAATCTACAAAACCGGTATATTAGGTAGTGGGGCGTTATACATTCGAAATTTTAAGCGTTCTTATTTTGAAATCCCATACAACAGAATAAAACATCTGCTCATATGTCTATGGCTTGGCAATGAAAATATCAGAGCAACAGATTGGGGATGGTATTCCAAAGATGGTTTGTTATTACCCGTACGCATGAACAAACAACCTGCACCCGATGAACTTTTGTTGTTGTTGTTATAAATGTAAATATTTTCAACTATTTATGTAAATGTATAAGAATATATGGTGCCTTTTTATGTTGATAAATTTTTTTGTATTTAATTCTACTTTTTTTCAATTTATATCTATTAAATTAGTTTATAAAAACTGCAATGTTATAAAGGGTGATATTCAAAAGTTGAAAAGTTGCAAAATTTTGGCAAAAAATTGTTTTCACCTATAGCACTCATAACAATTGATTTTTAAGGGTTGAAAATGTATGAAATTGTATTTTAAAGTATAAAAAAATCACTATTTAACTAATCCAAACCAAATTTCACTCATCTTAAGATTTGTAATGTTATTTTACAATTTTTGAAAATTAGGGGTAGTTTTCACCCCTAAGAACAATCAGGGTTCATCGGCATGACATAAACTATAAAGCAGAGGGTGAGTTGAGCTTAATTCCAAATTTTTATCCAAATCGTTCCAAGGCGAAATCATTTTCTTCGCATTACTACTTTTTTTTACATTAATCTCTAACAAGGGTCGCTTTTTAAGGGTTGAAATATGATGGAACTTTATTCAAAAGCACGAAACTATCATTATTTAATTAATTCAAACCAAATTTTACCCATATTCAGGTTTAATATGTTATTTTATAATTTTTGACAACTAGGGGTAGTTTTTACCCCTAAGAACAATCAGGGTTCGTCGACATGACATAAACTATAAAGCAGTGGGTGAATTGAGCTTAAATCCAAATTTTTATCCAAATCGATCCAAAGCGAAATCATTTTTTAGAATTAGTAATTTTTTACATTAATCTCTAACAAGGGTTGCTTTTTAAGGGTTGAAATATGATGGAACTCTATTCAAAAGTATAAAATAATCATTATTTAACTAATTCAAACCAAATCTTAGCCATATTCAGGTTTAATATGTTATTTTATAATTTTTGACAATTAGGGGTAGTTTTCACCCCTAAAACCCTTCAGCGCACTTCGGTTCGATATAGATTTTGATCCTTGGGCTATCACCTACCTTCTGTTAAAATTTCAACTCAATGCATGCAGGACGAAAAAATTGCGAAGTTTTAACTTTTTTCGAGCTTCATTTCCTGAACTATTATCGCTTCCTTTACGCAAACAACATTGTAACATTGTTGCGAGACAGATAGTTGAACGATATTTTATACAATGTCTATACCCAGGTATGGATTTATTTTTGTCCAAGTTTTATATTGGTCCACTATTTTAAATTCAGTTCAAACAGACATATATTAAATTGTATGATCCGTTTTAAATTCGTTCAATCTGTATAGGTACCTAAATTTAGCAACACGCAGAAAACTGAAGAAGAACACTACGTCAGCAAACGGGTAAAAACACATAAACTCAACACAAAAAACCACTAGAAAGACCCCCGAAAAGGTGACAGCTGAACATCAACATCAGAAGAGCTGGGATGATAGAATAAACAGGACCATGTCCTACAAGAAGAAGTTTAGAAATAAGTTACTCATTGTTCTTTCAGTGAAAAAGATTGAAATGTTACTCAGTAAGGAGCTTAATAAAAAGTAATTCCTAACTAGAAGCAATTGACTCAAAATAAAAAAACATTGGATTGATTTGGGAGAGGCCTATCTCCAAAGTTGGATTACTTAGGGCTGAAGAAGAAGAAGCAATTCTAATGAGTAAAATTAGAATTAAAAAAGTAATACTATTCTGTAATAAAATGCAGTATTTTCTAGTTAAAACCTAATAATTTTTGTTGGAGTAGACCTTATCACATGTACATATTAAGTTTCGTAAAATATTGAGCAATTAAAAAAAGACGTCCAGAGAATAATTGTGTTATCTAAAATGTGCTTCTGTAATAGGCGGAATAAACAACAAATATTTGCGATTAAGCGATGAGGATTATTGAGATTAACTTTATTTCGGTTTTAATGTTTTTTAAATTAGACTATAGGAATGTGGGTATTGAATTTCAAGGTTAGATGTGTTTTATTTCTTTTATTTTTAAGCAATATGAAATAGTTAATTATTTTTTAAGAGGATACGCCTCTAAAATGCATATTTTTTTGTGAACTGTACCGAAAATGAATGTTCTAATTTTAATGAATGGAAAGGAAAAAATTAATAGAATAACTTCAAATTTACGTGAAAAAACAATAAAAATATGTCGTTCTCTTAATCATAAAAAACGCAATTAAAAAATAATGGTAAAAGTATACAAATGAAACTTCAGTAAATCACAAATTTGCGTTAGCGGTATTGCCATGTTCTTATGTATATCTGTAGCCTGGTTTCAAAGATGGCCAACTCCATTTAGCAAAATTTTCAGTATAGGTCAAAAAACTGTTTAAACTACTTCCACACAATGGGTACAGTTGAATTTTTTTTTTTTGTTGATTAATAATGATTTCCAGAGCATCTTGGAGTAATAATATTTATGCTTTTTACTGTAGTTAAAGGGATATTTAACGTTGAAATATGGAGTTGGCCGTGTTGTAACCAACATGTGGAGATAGACGTTTTTGTCACCAAAAATATTGCTGATGGTGTCGCTGATATCTTAAGTCAGCAGTAATATACTGAAGATTTTTTTGGTGAAAATAAAAAAAGTTGAAATATGTGTTACAAATATTAATTTATTGGGCTAATACAATATTTGTCAATAAAATTTAAAAACCCGATCAATACACTAACTACAAAAGCTAGATACCTGCTTGATCTGTAGATAATATCTGAAACTTACACTAATTCTGAATCAAAAGTCCACTGCAACCTGGTTGACTTCCATGACTTCATCACAGTCTGCATTATTTAAGCACTCACATTCAGGAAGTGGATTTTCAGGCATCATTTCATTATTGTTTATCATTTCGTGATACCATTTCACATTTTCCTTTTCACTCCATTTTTCACCCTAATACTTTTGTAATTACTATCTATTATACTATTACTATGTATACTATAATTTTTTAACATTACTAGGCAAAGGTGGCTAGAACACCTTGAAAGAATGGACACTGGAGACTCCCAAAGAAAGATATATCAAGAGCCAAGAGCCAGTAGGAACCAGGAAGAGAGGCAGGCCAAGATCTAGATTTAAAACTCAAGTCGAAGATGACTTGAGGAATCTAGGGGTCAGAAATTGGAAAGCCAGGGCGAAAGATAGGGGGAATGGAGACTAATTCTTGAACAGGCTAAGACCCACCCAGGGTTGTAGAGCCAAATATGATGATGATTGTCACATTGAAAAGATATTCTTCTTTTTCTTCCTCTTGTTCCTAGGCTTTTCCCTTTTCACGGGTCGCTGTTCTTTACTCTTGTTCGTCACTCGTTTCTGTCTCCCTTGCTGTTTTCACCTAAACCTCTCCCTCTCAAGTCATCTGCCACACAGCCCTTCCATCTTCTCGATTTTTCTCTACCTCTCTTTCCATCAACTTCTAACATCTCTATCCTTCGTCCTAAATAGTTCCTAGTTCTGCGTCTGACATGACCAAACCATTGCAATCTTTGTTCTTGAATATTTTTTGGGACGGTAATCACCCCGGCTATTCTCCTAATCTAGTCGTTACTAAACATTTGATTTCAGCTTCATCTTCATTTCAGCTACCTCCATCTTCTTTTCCTGAATATTTTTCACACTCTTGTATATTCTTCCTTTCAGCACTGTGTCCTGTGGACAATTTCTAGATTTAGTCTCCCATTTTGATATTTAGTGAAAAGATATTGAATATTACTGACTTTAAAATAGCGTATTATATATTTAAAAGTATTTAAATGTTGATTATTTTAGATCTTCAGACGAAGTCCTTCACGTATTAGGAAATATATTAGGTAGCTTGCAGAGGGGAAGAACAAGTTTAATAGTACCTAGAAAGAAGACAATATATGATCTACTTAAGAGCCGCAATATGGTAAGTCCTCTAATCCTTTTATTTATCTTTGTTTATATTTAAAACCCTAAATGAAATGATATATGATCGACCACTTCTTATTTTTTATCGATGATAAATATAATTAAATGTCTAAACAACCGCACAGAATTGTACAAATCACTTTAAAAACCAGCTAGTCCGGCAGTGTTTAAATAAAACCAGCGGCTCTAATTTGTGTAAATCTATTTATTTTCAAGCGTACAGTACGTTGATAATATCTTATCAACTAAACTCAATCAATAAGAGCGCCGCATTTATATACAAATACATTATTTACTAGAATAATCTGGAATAGTGCATCTGTATTGTCGCTTGTATGAACTCCTCGATCTGTAAGCCGAACGCTACTAAGACCGAAAATAAACTTACGCTAATTAATTTTACATTTTTTTGTAGAAATCGCTTGCGCCGCCTTTAGCAGAAGATCTAGCAATAAGTTTTTATATCCAAAGCCACAAATTGGTATTTGTTATGTACCATTTGATGAACAATCAGGGCGTTATGACGCCTGACTCTACTCCTGCCGAGTGTTCAGTACCTTGGTTAAACGAAGTATTAGTACTCTTTACTGTTGGATTGCAGCTATGCCAACAACTAAAAGATAAGGTAAATTTTTGATCAAATTAATTTACAATTAAACCAATTGTGGAATACTTTATAAGTGTTTTATGTTAATATAATACTTTATGTTAATTTATATTTTTTGTTTCAGATCTGTGTTTTTTCTCAGTATAAAGATTTTACCGTAGGCTCCAGACCCACTAGTCCCGTACCAAGTTAGACTCACAAATCGAATAATTTATTGAGAATTTATTTAATATTATAATAATTATTGATATTGTCAATTTCTTGTTGTTGGTTTGACAAATGTATATATTGTAGGTGTTAATAAATGTAAGTATTGTTGAGATATTTTTTTAACACAAAAAAACTTATATAAAAACCTCCTCTTATTTGTGAAGGACTAAGAAATGGAGGTCCCCAATGAACAATACAAATAGAAATTGATTACTTACTTTGCTTGTATGTTAGGTAAATATCCCCTATTACTATGAATTAGCATCATATGCGGTGTAGGTAAAAGTTTATGGTAGGTATGGTAGAATTTAACAGGATATCTAACACAGATATAAAATCATATTTTCAGCGAATAGACAAAGATAACAATCATATTTCCCCTTGGTCTCCCCTCCACATTCCTTATGCATGCCCATTAGTGAACGCCAGACGATTATTTCCGATCCAGCTTATACGTAAGAAACAGCGGCAGGGTTGCCTTATTACATATTTGAATTAAAACATTGAATTGATTAAAAAATTGGCGATCAGTGGCGCGGTTATATTGCCATTCAAAACTGGATGATGATATTAAAAATGAAACACTAATTGACACAAATACTGGTACAAAATTTCTTAAATCCATGAAAAATTTACAGATTCGCATTTTTATTTGACGAAATTGTAACCCAATTTGAATAAAACAAGATAATTTTGGCAACATCGCCATTCGCCGTTCTCTTGAATGTTAAACTGCATACGAGACAGGCCGAACGCTATGCTATGTATTTCTTTTTGGAGGTAACTGCGTAAGTGTGAAGATAAAAATTAAATATGCCGACTGTGTATACACCAGAAGAACGGGTACAAATAATAAAATGGTACTTTAGGGGCAATTATGTACAAGAAATTATCAATTTATTTATTATGGCTTTTGAAAATAGGCCAATACCTATAGAAAAAACTATTGGCCATTATTCATTAATTTAAAAAGTTTGGCTGTACTAATGGTAGATGTAAAAAATACTGCCCATCAGATCAACCTCGCGAAAAGAAAATTTCTCAGAACGAGAAATTAGAGAAATTCAAATTTGTGCATTGGCTGAAGCGACGCCGTGTTCAAGTAAACAAATTGCCGATGAAGTTGATTTGAATGCAAAAACAGTGAGGAATATTTTGAAAAGAAACAATTACCATTGTTATAAAGTGCAGACAAATCAAGAAATATTTCCTGATGATCAATTTAAACAGATGCAATTTTGTGAAATTACAGGGTGTTTCAAAAAAAGGTAACCCCGTCTCTAGGGTAGGTAAAAAACTGAAAAATAAATGGGATTTGCTTAGTAAAAAAATTTTGTAACGCCATCCGTTTTCAAGATACAGGGCGTTGAAGAAAAAAAAAATTTTACGCATTTTTTACGATTTTGCCGAAATTACTGGCAACATTGTAATGAAATTTTATACGAATATATTTGGGAAGCTGATACATCCCATGAATTTGTTTTTATATCTAATTCTCATAGAGGGCGCTAGTTACACGGGTCCTACTCACGGTTCGTAGACTTACTACGGTTGCCTCTTCCGACTGGGGTGGGGTTGCTTGAGTTACGTCACAGGAGTACACAAGAATACAAAACCCATTTATTCGCGATTGAAACTGAATGTAGAGGGCAGGTCGATTGCAGTGTCATGGCCGATATAAATGGTGTAAACAAAAACAAACATAACATTCGAATATTTACCATTGCTTTTCCATGTTTAGTTTGGTTTAAGACGAGTTATTTGTATCATTTAATAATGGAAATTAACCTTAATGATATCTTTGAGTATTGTGGTGAAGCAAAGAGTTCATTGGTTGAAGGGGAAGCAGTTTTCAAGTGATGAATTCCTAAATTTTAACTTTAATGTTTCGAACTGGCTTGTGTATTGATGATGATGAATCCTATTCTGTGTATGCCTGGGAACCCAGAATATAATATTCTGTGTAATGTTTGCCTTAACGTGTATATGCATTATTATACCTTATGTTTTTAATATGTTTATTTTTATTTTATACTATTTTTTGACATATGTAAGTACTTTATTGTATATTAACATAAATAAATAACTTTAACTTGGCTTTATTGTAAAATAGTTCATTTGATTACATGAAATCAACCTACTTTATTTATAAAACATTTTTGTTTTGATACATCCATCCAATCACAGGGCTGAATGTTACGATTCCAATTACGTCACAGGAGTACAATCCGGCTTAATGTTCATTGGTTAGGCGGAAGAGGCAACCGTAGGAGTCTAGGAACCGTGGGTCCTACTAAATATTAGTCAATATAACTTTTTTAAAAGTATAATTAATCAAAATTTCAGATAAACCTAAACATCATTCAATTTTACACGAAAAAGGTACTCTTGGTAAAACTCGATACTGTGTACCGTTTTCGGAATATTTTGATTTGAAAATTCTGAAGTAATAATTGATGCTGATATAAAATAGTTGGTAATTAAACAAAACTCACAAGAAGAAAATTAAATTAATGACTAGATGTGGATACAAATGAACTGCGCAAGTCTGCACAGAATAGTGGGTCAGGCTTTAGACACCAGTGGCATTCTGATTGTTTATTATTCTGTGCTGTAAGGTTGACGTTCTGGAAATTTTAAATATAAGTGACAAGTGACATCGCGTTATATAAATTGTGACGTGTAACGTGTAACGTTTTTACTTGTTTTCCTCTGTAAGGTAAATTGAGTGTTTACTGGTGGTTTACAGTTTACTTTCTAATATTGTATTATTTATCTATGGTGTTTACTTAGAATTATTGGAATACTTAAAAGCAAGTGTAATCAAATGGAAGTAAAACAAGAAATAGGTGTAAAGGAGGAAACGTGTAAAATAGAAGTAGAGTATAATGAATTGGATGACTTTAAATGTGAAATTCAAGAGGAATCCAATATTCAAAGTATACATGACACATACAAATGTTTAAACTTAAACAAACGGTCCATAAATACTGCAATAGAACAACATGGAAATAAAATTAACACATTTGAAGAAAACCAAAAAATTGAAAAAGGTTAGTAACAATATATTTAAGTTTCTCCAATCTAAATAGGAATAGCTTTTACTTTACTTATGCGTAACGCCCGAAATTTCTCTTTTTTCTGCCTCTACGCCTCGTTCTCGCGCCATTTCCTTTACTACATATTTAATATATTTATCTTAATCACACGGTGCTAAGTATAGTAACTCGATTTTCAAAATTGTTTCATCAAATTTAATGCCGGCAGTGATATGGAGCGTTATCCATAAAAATAACAGATCCTGGCTCGATTTTTACCAGAATATCTGGAGCTCATTTTTCATAATGATCTGCAGCCATTTCCTCATGGCAATCTCTAGCCTTTTTAGAAACAAATGCATTTAAACCTCCTTCAACAAGTCCTGAGTCGCAACCAATATGTCTAATAATAAGGCGTTTTCCCTTTCCGGATGGGCTTTTAAATCTGTTGACAAACCAGTTAATTCTGCCATATTTTTGTCACAGTATCTTCATTTAACCATATTTCATCAGTAGGTATATGTTTTTTCCATCATTTCGAACTTCTGTTATAAAATTATTTCTCAAAAAATAAGTTTTCAATAGGGGTACTATTCCTCTTTGTCTTGAAATACCTTTAAAGTTCAGTTCACATAAAGTATGTAACAAAACATGTCGTGATATTTTTGGAACATTAGATTGAAGAGAAAAAGCATTTTTTTATAGTTGGTAATTTCTTTTTGAAATAAAATTCATGTTCTGCATGACGAATGGCCTGTTTGGTTGTATCATCAAATTTTATTTGTTTCCTTCTTCTTGTCTCAACCTTCAAAATATTATTATCGTCTGTTTTAATTACTCTGTACACACTAGCTTCAGAAACTTTTGTCAAAATACTACATAATGTAACTATATCGCTAACATTCATAATTTGTTCTCGGCTCAGAAGTCCTTCAAACACATTTCCAATCATAGTGTACTGTTTTTAAATAAAACGAGCGGTTCTAATTTATATAAATATATTTATTTATAAGTGTAGAGCATGAAAATATCTTATCAACTAACTCTTTCAACTCATAACAGCATTATATATATATATATATATATATATATATATATATATATATATATATATATATATATATACAGTGTAGGTAAAAGTTTATGGTCGGTATGGTAAAATTTAACAGGATAACTAACGCAGATATAAAATCATATTTTCAGCGAATAGACAAAGATAACAATCATATTTCCCCTTGGTCTCCCCTCCATAAATATTTTTAACACTCATTGCTCATTCGTGAGACGAATAGTTCCGATCAGAGATATTTTACATATTCTCTGGTTCCGATCCTAATATACTTAAAAAACTAGAGGTGGATCCTCTCGTTTTTTAAATTTTTATCGGAACCGTTTTTCGTAAACTGTAACTAGTTGATTGTTTACCAGTATTCAAATTAGCGAGTACACAAACATATTGGCTATTATCATTTATGTGTATAAGTATTGAAGTGAAAGAACCTAACGAAGAATATATTTCTTATAACTTGAAAAATAAATTAAACAATACAAATAGTACTTACATTTACATTACACATTATTAAATCGCGAATCGTCTAAATTGACATTTAAAAACAAGTTTTTCCACTTTTCTTGTTAACCGTGTTCTTCTTTTATTTAAAATTAAACCAGATTTTAAACATGTGTTCACAAGGAAAAGATTTTGTTATAATACTACAATATTTTATGAATATAGTGGTTAAGTTAGGATATACATGACGATGGTTTTTCCACCACGGTAATGGACAGTTCCAATCTCTGTTCGAAATTTTTTGTGGGTAATATATCATCAGACAAATACATGTCGACTTCTTTTATATCTCTCGATACAGGTGTATGTTTAGATGAGTCACCAATTAATTCATCAAAAATACACCATGGACTTAAGTCATCTTTATCAGTTTCTTTTTCTTGTACTGGTTGATTTTCAAGATTTACTAAACTTATGCAAAGACTCGTTTCATCCGTTTTTCATAGGTGAAGAACCAGCGTTTAAAAAGTTTGCAGGGTGGATTCCTGGATATAAATTGCCAACAAGAAAAACTGTCAGGTTCATTACTTCAGGAATGTTATGTCAAAACTGATTTGATAATAGATAAAATAAAAAGTCCTATTTTCGACAATTCTGCAAAAAACACATTTAAAAAAAAGTACCTTATCTTCAGAAAGGCTTTTAAAGTATTAATTACAACATAACAAAGTTCCCAAACGGCCAATCCAAGACGTGGAAACTAGGTAGAACTTCACCTACTACATGTTAAAAAAAATGACCGAGTTAGAAGAGGCAATCCGTTCCACATCGGTATTAAATAATACAGACTTAGACCAAATCTAAATAAATAACACTGGATTATTTGTTCTCAGCTTTCCCAAATTTTACGGCCGTTTAAAGAAATAACAAGTACAATGAGTGACCAAAAATACTTGAAGGGTAGTTCAGTGATTGTTATGGTACGCTGCCTGCAAGAATCTTGCAATAAAATTTTAGCAAACGGTAAATTTAGCAATAAGGTTTAGCAAACCTTACATCCATAGTATCCGACGTAGTACAATTACTAATATCGGGTTTAGCAAAAAGATTTAAAGGGATAGAACAGAGTGGCACATTGTTATTATGTACATTTATGGATTCACCATTTAAAGTGCAGGGTTTTTCTGATAAAAATGAAGATAAAAAAATTAAAGAAAAAGTTAAGAAGCTGGTTACTTCTATAATTAACGAACAAGAAGATTGTACTATTGAAAATCAACCAGTACAAGAAAAAGAAACCAATAAAGATGACTTAAATCCATGGTGTATTTTTGATCAATTAATTGGAGATGGCTCATCTACACATACACCTGAATCGAGAGTCTATTACAACGGTGGAAAAACCATCTCCATGTATATCCTAACTTAACCACTATTAGTATTGTAAATGTGAACACATGTTCAAAATCTGGTTTAATTTGAAATAAAAAAAGAAGACGGTTAATAAGAAGTAAAGTTGAAAAACTTATGTCTTTGAATGTCAATTTAGACTATTCGTGATTTAATAATAGCGTGTAATGTAAATGTAAGTACGAGTTACTATTTGTATTGTTTAGTTTATTTTTCAAGTTATAACAAATAAATCATTAGTTTCTTTCACTTCAATAAATATACACATAAACGATAATAGCCATTATGTTTGTTTATGTAGGTACTCTCTTACTTAAAACTACTTTTAAACAATCATAGTTACTTGTTTACAAAAATTTAAATTTTTAAATGCATTCATTTTTTTTTGAATCCTGAGAAAACTAACAAATATTTTTGAAAAATTTAAATGCAGAATAAAAGATTACATTATTACCGAGGGCCGAAAGTCCCTTCATGGAATAAACAAAAAGGTTTTTGAATGAGATATTTGAAATTAAAAATCACACTAATTTTTTTTTTCACCCCTATAACTTATTAAAATAAACATTATAGAAGTTTACAGGGACTTTCGGCCCTCGGTAATAATGTATTGTTTCATTCTGCGTTTAAATTTTTCAAAAATATTTATTAGTTTTCTCAGGATTCGCAAAAAATTAATGCATTTAAAAAATATTAGCCCGACTACGCTCTTAACGATAAAACTACCACGACCCACCTCTACTACTCGTTACTCGGTCGGCCAAACCAGACCAGACCGACGTTGCCAAATAATTATTGTGTATGAATATTTTTTAATGTGGCATTATTGTATGCAGTTTATTATTGCATATTGAGAATAAGGCACAATGTGACTTTAAAATAAGCTTATTTTGATGTTTAGATTTTTAATTCGGAAATCATACTTAAAATACGAAACATTAATAAATTTTATTTATATAAAACGATTTCCGAAGTGGAAATCAAAATGTTATATTACACTTATTGTAAAGTAAACTTGTGGCATATTCCCAATAAAAAAACAGTAAGCTGCCATTTAAATCAATTTCGCCAGAATTGGATTATCTTAGAACATTGTTCAAATGCAAAAAAAAATAACAGGTCAAATAAATCCAATAAGTTTGGCAACGTTGAACTTCCCCTTTTTTATTATTTCCAGGCATGCATGTTTGGCGATATAAAGGGCGGACCTAATATACCTCTCTCTTTCTAAACAGCTGTTTCTCACTCCATCTCACGTAAGGTCCATACCGACCATAAACTTTTTCCTACACTGTACATATGTGTATATATATATATATATATATATATATATATATATATATATATATATATATGTATATATATATATATATATATATATGTATATGTATATATATATATATATATATATATATATATATATATATTTGTTGAATTTTCTATCTCAACGCATATTCTTTGAACAGTCAGAAGATTTTTGTCAATTTTTAACTTTTTCTATAATTCTGATCTTTGATTTTATTTTAGGTTATCTCCAAGACGAACACAAAATGGAAATTAATTTGAAAACACATTCGATAGTGCACACTGGAGAGAAACCTTACAAGTGTGAAATTTGTTTTAAGCAGTTTTTTGAGGCAAGTTCCTTGAAAAAACATTTGAGAGTGCACACTGGAGAAAAACCTTACAAGTGTGAAATTTGTTTTAAGAAGTTTAGTAATGCATTTAGTTTGAAAATACATTCGAGAGTGCATACTGGAGAGAAATCTTACAAGTGTGAAATTTGTTTTATGCAATTTAGTCAATCAAGTAGTTTGAAAAGACATTTTAGAGTGCACACTGGAGAAAAACCTTATAAATGTGAAATTTGTTTTAAGCAGTTTTCTGGGGCAGGTAATTTGAAAAATCATTTGAGAGTGCACACTGGAGAAAAACCTTATAAATGTGAAAATTGTTTTAAGCAGTTTTCTGAGGCAGGTTCTTTGAAAATACATTCGAGAGTGCATACTGGAGAGAAATCTTACAAGTGTGAAATTTGTTTTAAGCAATTTAGTCAAGCAGGTAGTTTGAAAGGACATTTTAGATTGCACACTGGGGAAA